CACACCTACAGAAGAGGTTCCAAACATTTTTGAAACCCACCACTGATGTGCTGCCACCAGGGCAGTATTACTGGCAATGCTTCTATGGTGATGCTTAATTGCAGGAAACTTCTTCCAGATTTGCATGGCCTCACTTTACATCCTGACATCTTTCAAAGGAAGTGAACTCCCCCCCTCCCTTCGGGGAACCACTACACTGGTGCTATTCTGTGATTGTGACCAAGGGTTTCCCTCCTGCCATTTTTAAATTGTGTCTTTGAGTGAATGTTGACTCTTGGTGACTCCTTGGACCAGTTTCTGCGGTTTACTTGGCAAGATTTTGGGAAGTGGTTTGCCTTTGCTTTCTACTTAGGGCTGAGAGAAAGTGACTAGTCCAAAGTTGCCTAGTTGGCTTTCATTTTATTTTCATAAAATGTAATATAAATGTTTATCCTGAACCATTTTTTCATAGACCTTCCTTCTTGGCTTTTTGATTGCTTTTTAAAAAATTATAAAGATTTAATCTACGTGTGTTTTAATTTGTTTAATTTCAGTATACACAGACAAATTCTTTAATTTTACAAGGTAAAGACAAATCACAAATTCATCTGGGAAACTGTAGAAAATGCCCAACCACCCAAAACAAGAATATTCCTAGAATCTTGGCATTCCGATAGATCACCCATTCACAGACATAAAAAGATTAATTTTATTTTAAAAGTATTAAAAGAAGAAAGCAAACACAAACCAAAGACGGAAACAAACAGTCTGGAGCAGGGTCCACCAACCTTTCGGACTTCAGTGACCACTAAATTCATAATTTTATATCCCGCAGACCATTAATCTGAATCCAGCCCACTCTCCCTCTTCCATATCTCTCCCTCCCCCCTCTCTCACGCATCTCTTTCTCTCTCTGTGTCCCTTTCTCTCATTTCTGTCTGTCTCTCATCTATCTATCTCTCTGTCTCTCTCTCCCTCTCTTTTTCTCTCTGTATCTCTGTCTCTCATTCTGATTTTCCGATGCTCTCTGGGTCTTGCGGGCACTTCTTTGGCCTTTGTTGGTGGTGGACGCACCTCAGTTGCTCCGGGAGATGCACAACCTGCTCTATAAGCCGAGACACTGGCCTGATCTGGCCACGGC